TTGACTCATGTAATCACGCTAAATTAATTAATTAATTAATCAATTAATTAATATAGAATTCAGGGTGTTACACTATAACGAGACTGTTCAGAAGTTGTAAATTGTCTGAAAGTTTTATAATCAGGTTACGTTATACCAGATTCTGATACTTCAGAAGTTATGAACTTTCTAGAAGTTTGGTAAGTTTGTTGTTAACCAAGCTGTTTTAGAGTTTGTGAACCTTCTGAAGACATGGTCAGGTGATATGGTCTAAGACATGTTCGGAAGACATGGTCTAAGACATGTTCTAAAGACATGGTCTAAGACATGCTATGAGACATGGTCAGAAGACACATTCGTAAGACATTTCCAGTCAAGAAAGGGTTCAGGTGCTGAACCTTCTGATGACATGATGTTGTGCACCTTCTGGTGGTAGATTCTAGTTTCTGGAAGAACCATTGTATTAGTTCTGATGTTTGATGCGAGTCATCAAGGCAATGACTAAACAGGTTCTAATGCCTCATAGTGTTCTGATACCAATCCAGATTCTGAGATGAAGACCAGGTATTTCTAGTCAGACTCTGATGAGACGTCAATGGAGAAGTATTCCTTCTCTATGTTACCTTCTGTACTGTGAAATTCATTTAGTGAGTCTTAGAATCAGGGGGAGACTTTGAAAAAACTTTAATGGAATTTTGAGTATTAACAGATTCAGGGGGAGTTGATTAGTTTCACAGAATTTGCGTTCCATGGTGATCATCCTGTATGAACTATTCTATCAAAATACATGGTTTTGTCATTGATCATTGCATTTTGATTCACATTCTTATACTATTATACTTAGATATTTCTTTAGTTTGTTTTATTATTTTTACTATTTTATTGTGTTTTCATATTTTAGTTTATTTTTCCCTTTATTTAATTTTCGTATTTTATTTCAGCATAAGCAGTTTTTACTGTAAAAATCATAACTAAAGCTACGGGATACCGTTTTGCACGTTCTAATATATATTGGAAACCTAATAGAAAGAGATATAAGTTTTATGTTGAATCCAAAAGTTGATTTGGACTGTAGAAGCGTCGAATGATTCGTTGAAGTTCCAGACTTAGAAAATAACTGGTTTTTGGTCATTTTTGGGCCTGGTTTAAGTTTTCCGACCCGATTTATATTAGAAGGGCAAATCCTTATTTTATTAAATAGCTTGCAACCGCGTTAATGCAGCTTACAAACTATTCAGAAGAAAATACTTGGCTTGAATGATTGCAATAGAGAACTAATCCTCTCACGGTTAATCTGTTGTAATCGGTTTGCGACACTTTGAGGTTCTTATATTTTTCCATTAATCTATTTCCTTTCAATTCTTCTCTTTGATATATTGTTTGCTTAATTAGATTTATCTTAGGGTGAATTGATTTATTTTAATGATTGCATATTCTTATACTTTAATCGTGTTTGTTTAACCCGCGTCAGTTTATCGTGTTTGCTTAATTCACGATTATTATATCTCGTATGTCTGCTTAATTCGGAGATTAGGAATATCTATCGTGCAATACCAGATGCGCTTGTATAATTGTTATTATAATCGAAAAGGGGATATAGTCCGCGTAGGGATTGGGAATTATTTGGGTCGATGATAAGTGAGACACTGAACGCAGTAGATTAATCTGTTAATTATAATTGTTATCAAACTCGTGATTTTGCTTCTTTTATTTTCAATCGAAACTCAAATCCCCCATTGTTCAAATTGATTGGTTAATTCATACAAGAATCTTTGTGATATGATACTCGAGTCATTGTTGCTAACTATAGTCTTAAAATTACTCGTTTTGATTTGTGTGCGACAGCGGATCAGTCATCATTAAAAATGGAGATATTGTAAGAACAAGATTGATTCTACATCTGGCCTTATGTTTTGATGATAATTTTACATGTTATCTTTAAGAACAATTGTGTACTTTATTGGTTTCTGTCTAGTGTGTGACTTTTTCTATACAGATTTTGACTATGGTAAGAAGGCGTATGACATCATCAGATTCTGAACTCAACACTCTGAAAGAATACATTTGGTGTGCTACAAATTAAGTCAAGATTAAGGAATGTGTCTTATGCAACGGTTCTAAGGAACATTAGTAAAAGAACTTATGATCGTGACTTGTGCAAGAAAGCTTTGAAGGCCTTCTAAAGCTTTACTTCTGATGTTCCAAGTTTTGAAGATGCTGAAGACAAGGTTCTATTGAACGAGTTCTAAAGATCTAAAGACATTCTTCTGAAAATCAAGTGTTGAAGACTCTGAAGACAAGGATTTTCTGAACAAGCCTTGAAAGGTTTTTAAGACTTAGGTTTTGAAGATATATAGTTTTGATCCTTCTACAACATGTTTCATCAACAAACAAATCAGAAGCCTCTGAATACATAGAAGACAAAGATCAAAACTAAGGGATTGCGTGTGATGGTGAGTATAAAAGTACAAAAGTACTTTGTGACCCTACTCTCTATAGTGGCACAAGGACAAACCTTTTTGTACTATTGTCTACCAGTTTCACCATGATAGTTGGAAATAATACAGCTGCATTGTATTTCTGATTCTATCCTCCAACGGATCTCTTCTTTTCATCTATAAAAGAAGTGCTTGAAAGAATTTGAAATCAACGAATCAGTTCTAAAAAAACTACACCAAATCACGGCAAAAACTTTATAGAGAAATTATTTGTATAATTTTGTAAATAAGCAAGGAGTTTTTGTTCGTATCTTGCTATCAACACTTTTGTGTTGTTGTACTTAAATATTGTGTAATCTTCTTGGGTAGAAGCATCATTATATACACATATTTTTAATCAACTATTGTTGATAGGTTCCTTGAGAGATTTTGTGTAGTCTGGATTCTCAAGAAGACTTTGACTGTTGTCATAGTGGTTTGTAATAAAGATTAACTGACTTATTGGGGTTTCGATAGGGTTGATCTGACTTATTGTGTTTGTCTGTAATCTGATTGATTATAGTGGATTAAGTCATTGTGTATAAGGCAGATCATCTTGTGGAGTGGACTGAAGTAACTTAGTTAACAGTGAACCAGGATAAAAATAATTGTGTTCATCTATTTTTATTCACTTGTTATCTTTGTAGTTGAGTTGCAAAAAGATTATATTTGGTGCAATCCAATTTAAATCCCCCTCATTTTCTTGTGTTTCTTGCACATTTTCAAGGTCTGAAAATGGTGAACTCGAACTGGTGCTTACAAGGTGCTTTAAACTTCTGCAAATGTTATAACAACTTCAGAGGATGTCAATGAAGCTTTCTGGGTTGAGATTTGAAGTTGAAATGAGGAGAAATTGAATTAAGGGTTTTTGGTTTTCCAGAGGTTTCGTGGGTGAAATTAGGCAGGGTTTCAGTGGCTCTCAAAGCCTGAGTTTGAATGAAGAATGATGTTTTATTTATAAGAGAGTGAGTAAGCTCATGGTACGTGCAAAATCTTTCTCAAATCGTGCCAACCAAGTCAGATATTTTGCTTTTGCAACATTAACCTACACAATGTAATTGATTCTAACTAACCTAATAAACTATTATAGCATTGCAAAGTGAATCAAATGGAAATCGAGCAAACTTACACAAATTTGATGCTTTGGAGATGAGTTTGAATGAGTTGAAATGAATTTTTAAGTAGAAATGAGTAAAAAATCCAAGTTTGAGTAGAAATTATGTGTGGGTGGTTTTGGGTTTGAAATAGGTTTTGAGTAGAAATGGGTTCTGATATTCTCTTCGTGCTGGTGAAAACAATTAAATGACTTCGGATATGCTCATCCGAAATATAAAATTATGGGGTAATTCTTATATGTATAAGCGAAGTCACATTTTTTTCACAAAATAAAATGACTTCGGATATGCATATACGAACCCACTTATTCTTAACAAATACAGTGCATTCAGATATACACATCCGAAGTCTGAAAGTATTTTGGATTTTTCACCAGAGACCTGTAAGAGAGACCTGTAAGAGAGACCTATAAGAAGACACTATAAGAAGACACCCAGGTGGAAAAAGAAATTCTCAATAAATAAACATAAGTGGCCTTTGATTGGACTTAAAGGAGGATAAATGGGCAACATTAGCTTCCAAAACAGACTCCAGTTCTACATTTTCAAGCATTCTACATGACAATAGGTAAGAAGATATGTACTACTGTTTCTAATGCCATCATTAGCATAGTCAGGATACTGATTTGATAACTACCGATTTTATTCAAATTACTAGGTGGTGTCAACTATATGTACAACTATACGTATCAATGTAAGATTGATTCAATAAACAATTGAAGGCATTGCAGGCTACCATCTTTGCTAGTTAGACATAATCCAATATACAAATAAAATTGTCTATTAGGTATATCTACTTAGTAAAAGTTTGATTATAATCTTAAGAGACGGAATCCAAATTTCCTTCAAGACAGTCGTGTAAAATTACTATATCAATTTAATTAATATTAATTTCTCTCTTTTCCAATTTTTATACTAAAATATGTACTTAAAACATTTGTTAAAATATCAAATACAAATACAAATATTGTATTGAAAATTCAATTTCTTTAAAGTTTAAAAGTGTCTTTTTCAACACAAGTGTGTTAGGTCACATGTCATCATAACCCATCAATAAAAATTAATGAAACTTGACAAAGGTCAGACATGTCAAGAATTTCTTATAGCCCTAATCATATAATCTACAAAAATCATATCAAACCAAATTACAAGCCATTCTCAATCCATCCAGCTACGCACTATTTCAAATGCAATGATATTCTACACAAATTAATCCCAAGTCTGCAAAAGAATCAGAGGTACAGTCATGAAACACAAAGTTACAAAACCACATCATAGCAAAAGTCACTTAACAATTGTTCAGTACTAAAAAATCACACGTAAAATCTTTCTCGGTTCAGGAGATATTAACACCTGACGACCATGTTAAGAAAACCAACACGAATGCAATAAGTACAGGAGTTTCAAATCACACATATTGGATGTTTTCTTAACCAAGATCAGATACTTGACAGACAGCAGGCATGTTGTTCCATCCATAAGAACTTAACTCCCATACCTGACTCGGGTTAGAAGTTCCAGCAGCAGTCATATGTTTATAGTCAGTGGCAATGGATTGGTTATTGTCACGCCGAGAACACGGCTCATACCAATCTGAATCAAGCACAAAATCTGGCCGACTATTGTTCAACAGAGACTTGATATAAGCACTGTCAGGGGACCATGCACGGTCAACATACTCTGATTTCATAATGTTGCCTGCATTTGAATTTTAAGAAATTAATAGGGAAACCATATGCATACATTTTCATAATATTGATTTCACAATGTTCCTGTTCCATTGTGTAGTTTGTTGGGAATATTCTAACTATCATAAAAAAATAAAATTTAGTGACTTCTTAAATTAACTTATTTTGACAAGACTGTTTTCCTAAATTATTATCAGCCATGAGTAGAGTAAACATGTTTATGCTGCATGACCACTTCTATGCTTTATGAATTAAAAAAGGGTTCATTAAGCCTTTTTCTATAGAGCGTTCCAACTTTCTACAATTATTTTGAAATTTGGCACTTGATTAAACAACAAACTACACAATGGAACAGAAAATGAACAATTTTCAGATTGTGACAAATACGTATATAATAAACAAGGGTGTGAGTATGTGAATATTTGCAATGAATTATCATCCATCATATCATACACTGAAAGGCACTAACCATTATCGGTCTGAACAGGTGGCTGTTCATCCAGTGAATTTATGTTGGCACCAACAGCAGGGCACTCATTCAATATTGAAGATACACCAGATGGAGATACAGGGTCAGCATAGTCTTCCCATTCTGGCTCATACATGCACCAAGCTGAGAGGTCATCTCTTTCACGGGGAGTTGCAGCAAATGAATTTGAACTTCTGTCATAATATTGGTTTTTTGAACTGCTCGGAGTCTTCCGCTGATGAAGTACAGATTGCAGCAGGCCACTATTTTGTGGAGAAGAACAATCTGACTCCAGTGTACTAATTGGTGTAGGAGACTTGATAAAATCATCAATTGAGTCAAGTAAAGGATGTGGGGGAGATGTACCCCAGCTACCTAAATCAATTTCCGGATATTGGAGTGAAGGGAGCTCCGACTTCACAACCTCAAAAGGCTTAGAAGTAGAGAAGTTGCCATTTTTAAGTGAATGGCTATAACACGGTAAGCTGTTTGAGAAGAAACCAGGATCAAGAGGGGATTGCACCCCAAATGATTGTGTCAACTTATCAAAAGCATCATCCTGAGTATGTTCATATGGATAAATACCGTTTCTGTCAATACAACCGAAATCAAGAAACGGCATTGGGGACTCTCGAAAACGTTTGGGGTTAGATGATGTTGATGGCACAAAACTACAGTACTGAGAAGAATCAAAACCATTTTCCATATTGCCATAACCAGAAATATCAGGCGAATAAGGTAAGATTCCCTGGGTATCCTTCAGAATATCAAACATTGCATCATGCATACTAAAACTCCTTTTATGCAAGAAATCAGAATGCACTTTATTGCCACCATTAATTCTACCAGTGCTTTGGTTATTAAGAGTCGCTTGATGTATACCAGGAGGATAAAGTGGCAGGCCAGCTCGGTGACGCCTCTTGATCCGAGTGTTCCAATAGTTTTTTATCTCATTGTCGGTACGACCAGGTAACTACAAGCCAAGGAAATAAATCGCTATAATGAATAAAGATATTGAGCACAAAATATTGGAAATAAAAAATGAAGAAAATACTGACTGGCATTATAAAATCATGTGGAATGCATGATCACCATTCCTGAAATGTTTTAATCTAAAGTACCAACATACATACATGATGTTCAAATTCAAAGTTCTATTACATACATGATACATAACTGATACCGCTATATATTCCGACATTTACACACCAATCCATTAGCAACTGAATATGCTTTATAATCAATACAATAGGTTTTTTTCTATTAAGGCAGGCAAATAATTAGAAGCACAAGGTCATAATGTTAAACAGAGTGTTATGCGCACAGCTTTATTATAAATTAAACTAACAATTGGCATGACGTTTTCTACTAACTACTGTATAAATTTACAACTAACCTTAACTGCAACAAGGACTCTACAAGCCAAAACAAATCATTGGCAAACACAGAAAATTGAATGCTGTGAGGGTCTTCATTCCGTAAATGTGACAGAAAAAATATTGCAGAATTAAATACTTATATATAATGGGTGACATTATGCATTAGGAATCTAACAAAAGACAAGTGAACTGTATTCTACCACATTTGTTAGTGTGGATCTCTACGTAATCTTAATGCCTGCTAGTATATCCCATGCCATACACTATTAATTAATGTTCTTTATTATATACACAAATCTAACAAGAGAGAAGTTATTAGATGTAAAAATGTGCAAGGAAGACATGACAATGACATTGCTATTGGAAAATGAAGGGGAAAAAAACTAGAACTAAATATGTAAGCAAAGACAAACAATACACAATATGCTTACATGCACTGCCATGCGTGCCCATCTGTTTCCCATTTTTGCATGAAGCTCACAAATCAAGCGCTCCTCTTCCTCAGTAAATGCCCCTTTCTTTAAATGGGGCCTTAGGTGATTAGCCCATCGCAATCGACAACTTTTTCCGCAACGCAGCAGGCCTGTCTGCTTCTGAACGGCATTCCAGTTCCCCTCTCCGTTCTTCTTGACATAATTGACCAATATATCATCTTCAGCAGTTGTCCATGGCCCTTTCTTCAGAGCAACTCCACAGGCACTTCTGTCATTACCCTCGTCATTCAACTGGGAACCAATCTGATCATCATGGAGCATGTCATCCGGAATCTCCTTTTTCATCTGTCCCATCATATATTATACGGTTCCTGTCCAAAGCATATCACAACCACAAACAAAATCATTAATATAAAAAGAAAACACAGATAAAACCAGCAAAAGTTCTAAATATCCATTCACACCTCAAAGTTTACTCTTTTACTCTCAGATATTTCGTTTTCATAGAAAAAATAAAACAATAACAAATGATGACCTGCACGAAAACGCCTCAAAAAAGAAAACAAAATTTCCAAAGCACTTGAGTGGAAACAAAAATAATCAGAAAGCACCATATTAACCAATAGATAAAACAAAAAGCATAAATTTCATTGGAAAAGTTTCTAATTATGCAAAACTTTAATCTTGGGAATGATCAGGACCAGGAAAGCAAGATTTCCCAAACCCAAAATAGGACAAAGCATTATATTGGAGTAAAGTAGTATCAAACTAATTATGCTTACCCAATAGAGACTAAAATAAATACACACTGTTAACACATGATTATTTCACATGAAAAAGAAAAACACAACATCCATACCCTAAAACACACAACACTGATTTCAACTCTTTTTCATCAAACCTAAAAACCCTAAACCCGGTCATCAAAATACAACACACATTTATCACATTACAATAACATTAGTACTAATATTTAACATAAACAAAGAGGAATTCCCAGTGCCCAAATTTTGAGAAACAACAATAAAGATAACAGCTATGATCATAATAATGTTCAGTAATCAGTAATTAATAATTAATTAACAAAATTAATATCATTAAATCCAAAATTTCATGTAAACAAGAATGAGAAACGATGAAAACTAGAAAGCATACCTCCCAAAACGACCTCGTTTAGGAGAATTGTAATCCAAAGCTGAATTGAGCTAAGAAACTGAAAGAAACAGTGAAAATCTTGTTCCCAAAATTAAAAAAAGAAAAGAAAAAAAAGAAAAAAAAGAAAAAAAATGATAAACCAGTTTCAAGGTATTGATTGTAGTAAAGTAAAACTAGGTTAAAAATTGGAAATAAAAAGTAGAAACTTATGCAGTGATTGATAAACCCTAATTTAGAAAGTGTAAACTCGAAGAAGTGAAATTGAACGAAGCTACGAACCGTAGAGAATGAGAGAGAAGAGAGAACGAAACATGGAAGAAAATTCACAGTACTTTCATCTATCTCTATACAAGAGAGAAAAAGAGAGAGGGTTTTGTATTTGTTGTGTGCAGAGAGAGAGAGAGAAAAGAGGAGGCGCGTGAGAATGGAATGTGAATAGTAGTAGTATAGTACTTACTAACACATGCACTTCTTTTTTATGTTTCAATCAATGTTTTTGTACTAGTCTTAATTTTCGTTTTAATAAAAACACATGATATTAATGTGGATTTTTTATTAAGATTCTACTGCTTCATTTAAAATCAATTTCTTTTGACCAAATCAATTTTTAAATATTGCTGACTCAGTTTTTTTAAGTAACCAAAATAACTCACACGTTGATGAATGCAATTTGAATAAATGTTAATTTGTATTTTTTTTCTCTTAATTTTCGGCTATAGAAATGCGCTTTTGAGAGAGAGTCGGAGCGAATTTTGAACATTTTAATTTTATTACGGTATTTTAGGGTAATTTAAAAGTTTAACCTACATCTTCTATTATGTTTATCCTATTTCATCCTATTTTTTTGGATTTTTGAATGACGGATATATATATATATATATATATATATATATATATATATATATATATATATATATATATATATATATATATATATATATATATATATATATATATATTTTGTTTGTCACATTTATTTATGATTTTATAGATTAAAATAAATTTTAAAAATATATTTAAAAATATTAAAATGATTATATAAAACATATATATAAATTGTATTTCTCTTTAGATTTTAAGTTTCAATTTATAAATTATTAGGCTCAGTGACGGATCTTGTCAAAAATATTAGAAACGTTATATACTATTGTTCTGGACTGAGCCTGTCCGTAGCCTAATCATCAGTGAGGCCCAATCCAAGCTTTACAACGTACCATGCTGAGCATTAGATTCCCCGGCACACCCCGATCATGGGTGACTGGTCGAATACGGCTGCGCCCGCCAGTGCCCGCGAAGAGCGTTCCCGACGAGAGACGTTCCAAACGAGGAACATCCCAATCCAAGCCCTACTCGAGCACCCTCCTCGTAGGGCAGACTCTCAACCTTTCCGGATATCTCGAAGTCCTCAGGGTCTTGGGAAGATCGCGTCTTCACCCTCCCTATTCTGCGGAGAGCATCATCCAGGTAGGAGACCACGTGCAGGTCCCCACTACACACGTAGAACCTGACAGTCCCTTTGTTGGGCCTGTTTGGTCAGCCCAATAAAGGGACCTTGGCCCAGCGCTAGGGGCTATAAATATCCTCTATTTCGAGAGGGTCAGATATTCATTCCATACACACCAATATACTTGCTTGCCTGCTCATTCCGTCTCTCACTTTATCATCGGAGTGTCTTGCAGGTACCCCCTCATCTCCTTCAAATTCAATTCGAAGCCAGCAGTGACGGTCCAATTCTGATCAGGTACGATCAGTGGTGTCGTCTGTGGGAAACTAAGCTTCCCCGTCTTATTCACTTAAAAAGACCAAAGCTAAAACCATCCTCGATTGTCATGGCTGACCAGACTCAGGACAACTAGAACGTCAGCGTCATTGCAGCTAACAACAACATCGCCGATAATAATGTCGGCCCCGACAACGTCGGTATCACCGGCCATAACATACTCCCCGACGGCATCATCCCCGGGGCTTCTAACCATCGGGACGGAGCCACGGCTTCATCTTCATCAGTCCCTCCTCGGCTTGAAGAAGATCCAACCGTCCAATTCCACGAAGTCCCTGTCCCCGCCGGGGCAGACGCCACGACTAGGGCACTGTTCGCGGTAATTAACCAGACCAATTATCTCATCTTTGCCCAGGGGGAAAGATTGAGAGCACTTGAAGACAACCGAAGGCCCCCTAGAAGACACAGGAGGCCTCAATCCCCTCCTCCTTGACGGACGGAGGAACGTACCCGATCTCCCCCGCGGAGACAGGATCGGGACATCTCTCGAAGCCCGTCCCCTCGACCATTCGGGCGGTGACCCCGCTTGGAGAGGGAACCACTCATCGAAGCAAGAAGGCTCGACCACAGTCCTTCACGGCAAGAACGAAGACCTCCCGGGGGCAGACGCGGAGGAATCTATCAACGGTCACATCGCTCGAGGAACGTCCCGCACGACCAGGGCCATCGTGACCAACAATACATCAGATCCCTATCCCGCTCCCCAGAACGGATTGACGAGGACGACCCCCGCGGTCCCTTGTCACAAGCTATCATGGAGGCGCCCATTCCCCCGGACATGGAGAAGCCTCCCCACTTAAAAGAATATGACAGCGTCGCCGACCCGGTCGACCACATAGACGGGTTCGAGGCCATGCTGCACTACCACAACGTCGAGGGACCAATCAAATGCCGGTTGTTCCCCACGACTCTGAGGAAAGCAGCTATGGACTGGTACAAGGGTCTCGCCCTGGGGTCAATTACCTCGTGGCGAAACTTGAAGAACCAATTCATCAGCTCGTTCACTGCGTCGCGGCGACATCCGAAGACCGAAGCAGCACTCGAGGCCATCGTCCAGAAGCACGATGAGACCTTGAGGGAATTCATCAATCGCTTCAATCGGGAAGCCATACAGGTCCCTTGCACATACCATATGAAGAGATACTTGCTGGAGAGGGGGCTCCTCCCCGGCACCGAATTCAGGAAAGTCGTGGGCATCGAACCACCCTGAACGTTCGACGCCCTCCTCGAGAAGGCCAGAGCCTACATGGACTACGAGGAGAGAGAAGCGGCCAACAGAGCCCGAGACCCCAGGAATCATGGATCCAGCAGCAATCCGCGACAAGATACCGCCCCTCCTCGATGAACCGGGGAAAAAAGAAAGAACGATAAACCCCAGGACGCTCGGGAGCAGAGGGGGCCCTCGGGACGGTTCACAGAATACACTCCGCTCACGGCTTCCTGCGAGTGCATCTTAGCAGAGTGTGCGAGTATAGACTTTAAAGATGGCGGCGTCAAGCGTCCCCGACCAGCGCCTGCCAAACTCGGGGTAGACTGGAGCAAATACTGTCAGTATCACCGGAGCCACTGGCATCTGACCGAAGACTATGTCCACCTTAAGGACGCCATCGAGACCCTCATAAAAGGGAGGAGACTCGGGCAGTACCGGCGAAATGACACTCCTTGTCGTGACGCCCGCGAGACAAGGGAAGCATAAGAGGATGCCCGACCATCTGACGAGTCGGTTCCCATCTAAACCGCATTCTCCGTCACAAGACCCGAGGACTTCTATGTCCCTGATCACATGCAAGAACCGTTGTCGATGCACAGCAGGTGGGTACACTTCCCCTCCACCATAGTCATCAATGGTGGAGGGTTCAACGACATAACCATAAATTCAGCTAAGAGGAAGCTGGACGAATTGGTCGGCACGACCCCCCCTCAAACGGTGACCTTTGAAAAAGTGAGGGGCAGGTCGGAGCCAATCACTTTCTATCTCGAGGAGCTCCCCGGTGAGGCTCCCAATTTGGTCATCCCTCTGCTGATAAGAGCGAGAATGACCAACTTCGACATACATCGTGTCCTCGTCGATGAAGGAAGTTCTGTCGACGTGATGTACAGCCAACTGTTCCGAACTCTGCAGCTCGACGACTCTCACCTCTCGCCTTACATGGGGTCGGACCTGCAGGGCTTTAACGGCTCAACTTCCAAGCCTTGGGGATACGTCGAGCTCATGGTCACATTCAGCGAGGATACGACAACGAGACAAGTCAAGGTGCGCTTCCTCGTCATTGATTGCCCTTCCCTCTACAACTGCATTCTAGGAAGGCCGACAATGAAGTTTTACACAAAGAGGGCACGGGTCGCCACCATCCAAGGGGACCTAGCATATTCCCGAAGGTTTTTTAACGTAGCTTCCAAGGGAGCGATACGGTCGACACCAGCACAAGGCCCGCCAAAAGAGCTGCAACAACACGACCAGAACCTCGGAGGTCAGAGCCCGTCAAAGTGGAAGAGCTAAGAGCCCCTCCAAAGGTCGACTCAATATCCCCAGACACCCGTTTCGACCAGGATGAGCCTCCCAGTGGTGAGCAAGTCCCCCTTCGACCAATTCCGGACAGGGACTTCGAACTCATCCCCCTCGGGGAAGACCCAAGCAGAGGACTGAAGATTGGTATCGGACTCCCTGACTTGGCGAGGAAGCAAATCAAAGCTTACTTGCGCGAGAACGCAGACCTATTCGTGTGGAGCGCTGCGGAGATGCCCGGACTCGACCCTGAGGTCGCCTGTTACCAACTCGCCATCGATCCAGCCGCTAGGGCAGTAGTGCAACATAGACGTAGGCAGTCTCCAGAAAAAACGGAGGCTGCTGAAAAAGCTGTAAAAGACCTCCTAGAGGCAAATTTTATTTTTGAAGCCCGGTGTTGTACCCCAAAATTTTCCCTCCCATATTTCTCAAAACATTACAAGAAAGATCCTCAAGTTGCTCAAGATAGTCCAAGGTTGGCCATACAAGCTCTCTCCTAAGGCAGTCTACCCCAAATTAGGGTTTCATGTTGCATTAAGATACTTGAATCCAAATGACCCCAAAAGATCAACATTGTCCTAATATGTTCTCAAGATCATCCATGTCAAGTTTCAAGCCTAGCAGAGGAAGTTTGCTCAGTCAATTACTCAAAGGTTCAAAAATCGATTGTGTTAGGGGAAAAGTCAACTATGGCCTACATACAATCAAACTTCAAGATTTTTGGTCAACATTCTCATTTTGAATTATATTTCATCATTTGATCAAGGGTTGATCATGATTCATCAAGGATTGCTCATAATTCATCAAGACTCAAAAGTTGATAAATTAGGGTTTTGTAGGAAAAGTCAACTCAACTTTGACCAAGCATAACTTTCTCATAATTTATGAGAAATGACCCATCCAAAGCTTATTTTGAATAGGATGCAATTCCCTACAATCCATCTTCATCACCAAAGTTAAAAATATTCACTCACAAGAAGTTATGAATTTGGACATTATAGGTCATTTTGAAAAGTCAACAAAAACACCTTTTTTGTTAAAGCTTCATACATGAGCATGAAATATCAAATTGATATGAGACCAAAAGGGTTGATTATAGGACATCTCAAGATTTCTAAAAAGTCCAAGAACACCTCCAAAGAGTCAAACTTGAGGACGTTAT